ACCAATAACACTGGTACTTTATGATTCACAGTCATAAGAGTATCATGAAATATGAAGATAATCTGTTTGAGACTCATAGAATGAAAATTATAACATATATTGTACCGCATAACTTTTTAAAAAAATGTTTTGCCTGTGTGGGCATGCACTTCAAACCTATCATTATTAATTCTTTCATTTTAAAATAATAACTTGAATTTCAGTTTTACTCAAAGACCATTATTGACTTGTGACATCAGTCTTCTGTTAAACATTCCAAACTACCAGTCATTATCATCTGCCATTGGTAAGAAATTTCTAACGGAGATGCCAATTTTTTATAAAAGCCCTGATCTTTGCAGCAGATGTACCAATCCTTAGTGTAGTATTATCATCCCAGTCCTTACAGAATCCACAATCCTCACAGGAGCTCCAGTTTTTACAGAAGCCCCCGATCTTTTTATTTAAAAAGAAATTTGGGTTAAGTGTTTTACAGCCCTTGCAATTGTATAAGATCACCTGAGCGCAAGGGACACATTAAACATTTTCAGTTTGGTAGGAATTTTGAACTTTGCACAGTTGGAGCCACAGCCTCCTCTTATCGATTTTAGAGAACCGCCAAGGGATCTTTAACATGCGCAACTTGCACACGGGACCTCCAAGATTTTTTGCCATTGTCCGAGAAGGCTAGGTGTTAGATTTTACCTACCATAAAATCAGGGGTGTGGCTGAAAGACGAAAGCGGAAAGAAGGGGCTGAGGAGTAGCAGTAAAAGGCTGCAGAAAAAGTCGAGAGCCAAGGGGAAGGGGAGGGGGCAGAAAGTCGGAGTGAAAGTAGATGACAGAACATGGTTAGAGAGCTGGAAAGGAGGTGAAAGGAGACACATTTTAGAAAAGAACATTTTCCGTTGCTGTCAGGTTTCGAACTCGGGACCTATTGAATGAGAGGCAAACCATAAATACTCCCCCCCTCCCTCCCCCCGATCTTTACAGAAGTCCAAATCCTTAGAGAAGCCCCAATCTTTACAGAAGCCCTCACTAAATCTGTTCTTCAGGTTCGAACTGCTGAGCAGAACTATGAAGAGCCGTCTCGCCTTTTCCTCCTGAACGTGTACCTGGGTCTGGGCTTTGTCCTGGGTTGTGTGGGTCTCGGCTACATCACCATCAGAAACAGCAACGAATGCCACATCTCTAGGTGAGTCCTTGATTTGATTTTTGTGTAAGTGAAAGGAAAAATTACAGATACATATGACATTGTTGATGTTTAAGAGCATCTAAGCAAAGAAATGAGTGGCAAATTGTGATAGTCAATGTATGTTTCAGATCTGGTAATAAGTGATGATGGTGTTGTGTGTTTTTTAGTTTTATATGACGTATATGATGATAATATGTCGAGAACAATGTGCAGGATTTATCTTTCTTTCTCTCTGTTGTTTCTGAATATCTGTCTCCCTTTTATACTCCTGCAACTTTTTTGTAGTGTGTTTTGTTTATCTGAAACTGACACCATTCCTCAAATCTTACATATTCAATGTGCCTTTTTCCCTTTTTCTCTACTGTCCTTCTACAGATGTTTGTTTTCATGATCTGTCCCATTTTCACTCATTGTATGAAAAGTCAATGGAACACTCTTATTATATTTATATGCTCACCATTTTATTTTGTTGCTGCAGACGACATTTGTGTCAGACGTCGGCCATCTTGTGTGGCTTGTTCACGCTGCTGCTTGTCATGGCCAATGACGAGAGTTCCCACACCCTCTACGCCTGGGCCTATGGCATCTGCTGTGGCAGTTATTACTACAGGTGACTATTTTTAGACAACGACTTGAGTGCTATTTTTTGTCAGCAGCCAGCTATTCAGCTGTACTAGATAAAGACCAAAATTTTCAAAATTGTTGGTAAGCCAGTTTCTTAATCTATGGTATCTGTAGCTTATGCTCGAGAAATATTTTATCAAAATTGATGTACTAATGCTGAATAAAGCAAGAAAAAATACATAATTCAGATACAACTTGCAAAAGAATGGGACCATTTTTTCCATTTCTTGAAAAATTTGTGTGGCTTCATGGTGAAATCGGGCACTCGTCAAAATAATGAAATAAAAGAAACCAGCATTTTTCTGCCGGTTTGGCAATTTTTATACAGTTTTGTTTTTGGCTCAACACCTTTATATCCATTTATAAACACATAATTGTGTGGACTTTACTTATCCAAACTTTGAGGCCATTTTCTCGCCAATTTTTTCTCTGAAACCAGGCGACCCCCACCTCCTTCAACCGCTAATATTTTGACCTTCTGTTCCAGATATATAGGTATTTTTATTCACCTAATGCAAGACAAATGAACTAGCCTTAAGATGATACCAATTCTAACTCAACATGCCCAAAAATTTACGAGCACCTGATTCCATCCTGTCGTGACACTTTTTTCTTTCTGGTATATATATTTCCCAGCCTCAAGACGTAGTTGTACAAACTCATGTATATATATAAATTTTTATCTGTATATATCTAACTCCCAGCCTCAAGACGTACTTGTATGAGCTTGTCAAGACGAGACTGATGGAGAGAGGCTGGAGCTTCCTGTGTGCTGCCAACAGCTTCCCTGTCCTGTTTGGGGCACCGGCCGCATGTAAGTAAAACACTCTCTAACACTTCTGTCAAGTTCAGTTTTAGTAAGAGTTTTACAGCACTTGAAGCACTATTAGGTCAAGTAAGTGCCAAAGATTATAGATAGCAACCTGGGAAGTAACATATAATGAAAAGAAGGAGAGATTATGGCAAAAGATGTTTGATAGGAAAGAAGGAGCAAACCACTCCGGAGCACACACTAACCTCCCACTGTGAAGTCTGGAAGCAAGACAACTATATAGGGATGGGTGTTCTCAGCTTTTCTGAGTTCTAGATTTTATGATAATGCTTAAAGAAAATTCTTAGGTATGCCTGTTGTTCTTGTTTTTGCTTTTTAATGAAGTAAGTTCAAGTTCCAGTAGGCCTATACTGTCTTTCATGACTTGATACAAAAGGGTAAAATAATTTCTGTTTAGTTAACCACCATTCTTGTCATAAACAGGAAAGTTAACACTCTGAGTCTGCGCATCTTTCAATGTGTCGCACTTTTGGTGAAATTGTTGCTGAAGGAGAAGCAGTGAACATCTAGATCTAGTATTTGTGTCGCTTCGTGGTTGAATCAGGCGCTTGTTAATTTTTTGGTATATGAAGTTATTGGTTTCAAATGAAAGCCTGTACATTGTTCTCAAACTCAAACTTAATGAAAAAAAATATATTGATTAATCTTTCTTAGAAGTCGAGATATACGCAAAATTTTAAAAGGTCGGAGTTACCTGCTGTTTAAGTTGAAATTACCTACAAATATGGCCGCCAAAAATTTGGTGATTTTTAAAGCTGAATCTTATCATTTAGGTGTAAGCACACTGGTGTTTATGAATTGACAGTGTAAGTAGAGAGTGAACAATAATACTGGCCATTATTTTTTTTTTATAGGCAGATGGCATGTTTTGTATTACAGTTTCATTTGATTAATTTTTAAAGCCTTGAATCCTGGACTTTTACCTTAACCATATCTCCTCCTTGGATTACTTGAATGTGGTTAATTAAAGGTACAATGCCTTACAGGGTACTGAAAAAATTCCCTAAACAAGTTTACCAGCCTTGTGAGTTCTAAGGGTTTGTTATAATAAGCAGGAGTTTTAAGTCGGTGGCCTAGTGGTGAGGCTCTAGGACTCGCAACCGTAAGGTCGTGGGTTCGAATCCCGTCAGGGGTCCGACGTTGTGTCCTTGGGAAAGGCACTTTACTCGATTTTTCCTCATGTCACCCAGGTGGGAATGTGTACTCGGCTATAGACAGCGAAAGATCTTGTCAGTTTGTTAGTGTTTCAGCGCTTAATCAGCTGCTTGCACTGTATGCTTCTCGGGAAGCTGAGAATGTTTTGAAGTGTCCTAAGGTTTGCTGGGGTAATAATATAGTGTAAAGCGCATAGAGCTTGCTGTTGAGCAGGGATATGCGCTATACAAATGCTATTTATTATTTATTATTATAATTAATATGGGTGTCTTTAAAAAAGAATTTGTTTCCAAAACAATCCTCTTGACTAATTTGTTTTCTATGTGTCCACAGCTTACCTGAACATGGCCTATGAGTCTACGGTGGCAGGATACATATTTGCCGGAGTGGCCATGGTGTTTGGTGGACTTCTCTTCTACGCCATGCCATTCTGCGAGCGCCACCCCTCCAATCACGACGTGCTACAGAAGCACAGCAGTGGCCAGTACCCAGCACATCTCACAGAGGCCGCTGCTCTGCTAGACATGGATCTCAGTGAGGGCTGCATGAGTGGTGGCAAGCTGCACCACCACCACCACCATCATCACCACCACCAGCAGTGCCAGCCTAGCAACGGTCTGGCACCAGTCCGGCACAGCAGCAGCAGTTCCACCAGCAAGGGGGACGGGGCTGGTGGGGTTCGAGTTCAGCTGCAGTGCCTTGTGCAGCACAAAGACAGGGGGGACAAGCCAGCCAAACAGGCTCTGCTGACGAAGATTGCAGAGGAGAAAGACGGGGGAGTGAAAAACTGCTCTTGTGAGAGCGCTGCGAAGAAAGGTGGGTCCTGTATGGGGAATACCGGGCATGTTCAGGTGAATGTGACCAAGGCAGAGTACTCTGAGTCTGTCACCGACTGCCCGTCCGACAGCACTTTCTCCAATCACACAGACCGCTCCAGTGGTAAAGACAGTGGTGCCGGAGGACTCAGCAAAATTGACGGGAAAAAGAGCAAGAAGAACGACGTGAGAATTGATCTCTTTGACCCTCCGAGTCAGGAGAAAGAATCCACCGCTACAGTGTCTTATGATTCAGACTTGTACATAAATCTATGTGAAGCTCAGGTGTGAGGAGTAAGAGGAGAAGGAAGAGGAGGAGGGAGCAGTTACATATGTGACATTTGATCAGTGCTGGCGAGAACACTCACGACTGTTGTCCCCATTGATGATGGCTGGCTGTGTCAAGTGATTAAGTGTTTCTGCTTTTATGAAGTGTGAGAAAGTCATTGTTGCTTTGATTTATCATCCATCATTGTACCTGTGATCTTCTTCTTTCTGAGTTAAAGTGCTTAAATATGGATGAAAACTTGATCTAAAAAATTTCATTGTGATTGCAGTTGTGAAATATCTTCAGTTTTTCACATGTGAGCGAAATTGTTTTCTTTCAACTGAAAATGCTTGAGACAAATGATCTTTCCACTTCTTCAGTTTGAGAAGACGCTGGAGAGAGAAATTAACTGCTCAAAATAATATACTCCTCAGAGAACGCCTGCTTACTACTCTTATCAGAGAAATGGTCTGTTTGCTACATCCGGGAGAGGAGGAATCGTCAGTGTGTGATCACTCTTGGGAGAGATCAAATTATACTTGTGGAACTCCTGAGGGGGCTTCATCTCTGTGAAAAACTCTTACGAGAAATGAAATGCTTGTTACGAAAATATTGCGGCTCAGAGAGATAACATAAAACTTCACATTGATGTTCATTCAGTGTCCGGTGTTTTGAAATATTTAAATGAACTGTCTGAAAATGACTTTTGCCTTTTCACATGGGATAATGCTGTGTGATGTCAGTGTCTGCTCTGTGTTTGACTCTGAACTCGTAAGGAATGAAGTTAAGAAACGGAAGCCAATCTGCGTGATCCTGCTCTTGGGGAGAAAAATTATTTACTATTATCTTGTTCAGACCACACGGGTGCCACTTTTCTGGAAAGTTCTGAAATTCCAGGAATATAGAATGTTCTCGACTTTCTAATTTTTTTGGGGTTTTTTTGTTTAATTGTTTGTGTATGCGAGCCTTTCATGTGCATTGTTAAATTCTCTTCAGGCTTACAATTCAGTGAGGTCTGGAAATCTTACTATAACAAGGCAGTGGTAGGCTACCCACAGGATCATTGTCTTCGCCAGACTCGTTTTGCTAATGTGTGATATATATTATGCTTCAATTTTGTAAATCTTTCTCTGAGAACTGAGAGAACAAAGCACTTTTGTATGGAATGCCATATGTTGATCATCAGAGAATGTAGCCTACTAGCTTTTGTTCAAACTTCTGTGTGAAATCTCTCGTAATTCGCAGTCTTAATTCTCAATGTGTTGTTTTTGTATCATTTCCATAAATCGCTAATTGCAATGTTTCAGTGTATGGAAAGAATGTAAATGCTGAATGCTGTCATCTGGCTCATCATTTTTCTGAAATGCTGTGTATGTTATTTGTTGAACATTGTTTGGCATCATGTTGCAAAAAGTGATGAATATTTTGTCTTTGGTTAACACTTTGTTAATATGTCACCTGCATAATTAATATGATTTTGTGCTGATTTCTCTTCTATTAAACGAGAGGCATCGTGGTGAAATCAGGCACTGTCAGAATACTAAAATTGAAAAAATGGGCGTTCTTCTGCTAGTTTGGTAATTTTATCGAATTTTCTATTTTTGGCTCAACATCTTTTGTTTATTTTAAAACACGTTTCTGTGTGGATTTTACGGAAAAATGTTGATTAATGGGACAAAAACTGTAAATTTTCAGTTTTCAAGGACTCTCAAGCTATGGAAGTTACCTAACTTTGGTAGCTGTTTTCTATCTAATTTCCTCTGAACCCGGTGAGCCCTACCACCTTCAATGGCTAATGATCAGGCTTTAAGATGATACCAATAACTCCATACGCCCAAAAATTGACAAGCGCCTGATTCCACCGCGCTGTGACACATAAGATCTGCTACAACTGATGACATTTCCACCTTGTTGAACTTCGAGGCTAAGCTACATTTGGATAATTATCTTTTTTGAAGATTTTAGGAAAAGTGAGAAAGTCATATTACTGTACTCTGAAGAGCCTAGATATATTTAGAAAGAGACTGCCAAAATTCAGACGAATGCACATGTAAAACAAAAAAAATAAAATTTTGAAAAGTTTGTTGTGTTCACAAAATATAATATGTTTGAACAGATAATTTTTTAAACAGATTGACCACATTGTTGTAAAGATGCTCAATACCTTTGTGGACAAGAAGAATACTTCTCTTATTATTGGCTTTCTTTTGTATAGTTTGGTGGGTGGTTGGAAGGTAGGCCTACTACTGGTAGGTCCTACTTCTTCTCTTTCCCTCAGTTGTTTCTGTCCCGTCTATCTTACTTCTCCCCAGTACTAAATGACTGCTATTCTGTTGATGTGCTTCTTTTTACTCAAGCAGAGCACCCAAAAAAAACTCGCCCCAAAAAACAACCAGAAATTGTGTAGGTTGTTTTAAATTATGTTTTTTGGGGTTAGTGATGGATTTAAATAAGCAATGTCTTGAGCATCTGAAGAACTGTTCTCTCATAGCTTAAAAGCTCTATCAAAACTATCAAAATTCAAAATTATTTGTTTTAATAGATCACCTGTCGATGAGGAAAGTGGTCATCTTCAACAATGCCTTGGGCAGGTCAGATGAAAATGATGAACAGAAAATTCTCTTCTTAGGTCCCAACTGGAGGTGGTTGCAGGCTCAGAACTGCTGTTAGGCACATTAAAACGTTTTTATCATTGGGAAAGGGAGGGATGGGGGAGGGAAGTTTTAGTTTTTCATCGGGCAATGGTAGATTTGTGTAGTGGTCTCAGACAGGTTTTGGGGGTTGGTGGTTGATAAAATGTAGGGGCTGGGGTCATGTTGGATAAGTGATTGTCTTGGACATTGTCCTTATAATTATATTAAAATTGGCAAGTGGGGTCAAAGTTGTCTGATGGTCGCTCAAGAGAAGGTTCAACTGGATAATCTTACAGCATTGTGGGAAAAGTCAGCTGTATAAGGGTATGAAGATTTTATGAAAGCGTTTACTTTCAAGAATTTGTACAGTTCATAATAGCTTGTTCTCATTCCCTTTACAAGTGAGGGTTCTTTCTCCGAACAAACTGGCATAACGACTGATAATTCTGAATGCTCGTACTAATTTTCTCTCTTTCTCTCCTTCCCTATATATGAGTCTCAGCATCCATCAACCTTTTAATGATATCTGTTTTCAAAGCTAACATTCCAGTTGTTTTTCCCTGTGTTTATTTATTTTTACAGACGATTTCTTTTTCTTTATTCTGTATACAAATTTCTGTCCACAGTGGAAAAATTGATTGAAAAATTGATTACCATTATTTTCACACAAAGTGCTTCATGCTCTAAATTCTAGATTCTTTCAATTGAAATGACGTGCTTCTCTCACGAAATCATGATTGATGTGTCTATTTAACTATCATTTATGTGTGATAGAATAAGATTTAGTTGAAAGAGACATTTTCAGTCAGTTGACAGAAAGAAAAACTGACGAAAAGAAGCATAAATGATTGTCATAGCTGAAACCCATGACAATGGGGAGCAGACGTATAACTTATTCATACTAGTCCTGGCGGTTTACCATCAGTATCTTTGTCATCACCTCACAAATTGTTCTCTGGCATCTGTGATGTGACAATTAGATGCTAAGCTGTCGCAAGCTGGAGACGCAAATTAGATTCCAAGTGGAGAGAAATTTTTATTGTGTATCTTGGTCTTTCTGCTGGATGTAGCATCCCTTTCAGTCTGTGATAGCCCTTGACAGTCAGGGTCAGAAGCCCGCCTCCTTAATGATCTAAATTGTGTCAGTGGGAGACATAAGAACATCCTCATATCGTCATTTAAAGATAAAAATTGAAGCAAATTATTCTTATTGAAACAACATTCCTATCCTTTTTCAGTTTGTAGGTTACCTTACAGCTGGACTTTAAATGTGGACATTTAATTTTTCAAACGGTATTACAGCTATACAAAAGGATGGGCCGTGCATTATGTATGATTCATCCAACATGTGACTATAATGTATAACGTCTGGCCAAAAGCAGAAGCTGATTATAGACTCCTAGAAAATCTGATAACGTGCAGTGAAACAGATCGAGACGAATCCTGCTTCAGTCATAAGCGATAGCATCAGTTTATTAGGGCAAAGGAAAGATAACTGCTGAAAAATTATAGGACCTGAGTAAGTTATTCAAACTTAAAGTTTGTTCTCTTCCTTTATTTTTCTGAATTGCTATTTAGGCTATTAGATATTGCAAAAGCAAGTTGGCATCTTTTGTGGATATAAGCGCCTTTTACTAATTTTTTATATATCACTGAGAGGTTTACGGAACAAAAGTCATGTGTTAAGCGTTGCAATTGAAAAAATTATCTAGTTTGTGTACAAAATTCATTGACACTATTAGGCTACTTAAAGAATCTGCAGTTTCTGTGGCACTCTGGGTTAAAAATTTGATCTGTCTCACAAAAATTTGAGGTTTGAGCCCAAGTGAGACAAGATTAATTGTTTCTTTCCCTGGCAAAATATTTCCACTCGGCCTGGTGATCTGAAGGAGCACGAAAACTGCTCTGCTTTCTTAAGGATTTTCACTTTTTGGAAAGGATAAAACTTCAAAAGTAGTAGGCCTATCAAGAAGAATTGTTAAGTAGACACAGTGTGTCCGAATCATTTCTGAGATCTTTGGATATTCAGTTTACCCCCAGGCAAAATGTCTTCTTGTTTATAGTATCCAAATGTATATCCTCGTGTCATGCTGTGCAAAAAATTAAGATTTAGTTATACGGTACATCAGGCCTTTTAAGACATCTGTTTTTGAGTTCTCTGATGACGTCCTGTTATTGCAGGTTCCTTGTTCGAGGAGAAAGGCTTTTATAGTAACATCTGTCAAATAGAAATATATATAGTTTGACAAGAATATTTCAGGGCGCTATGAATAAAGGCTATGTTGCAGCAAGTGATATTTGTTTCATATTCTGTTATTCATTTTAAGCTTCAGTGGATAATATCAGTAATGAAAGATGTGTTCCCATCATAGATTTCAATGGATGGAACGCTATTATTTTCATCTATTGGATTGTTATGCCTTTATAAAAAGAAATGTTTTGTCTGTTTGTTCTGTTACTTTTGGATACGACTCCGATCTTTTGTCATGCTCTGCTCCAAATATTTCGAAGAATTCCAATTTCTGACAATTGTTTTCTTCATTTTCTTCATTAACACCTCTGTATGCCACATAATAATATGTATTTTTATATGTAGCTTTTGAGTGCGGAGAAAAATGTTGTGTTCTTCCATTGTTCCTTTCTTTATATATCTGTTAGATTTGATTATCAGTTATAGATTTGAAGTACGCCGTTTTCCAGAAAGTTGGCGAACCATGTCATATTTTCCGACTTGCGAAAGGTCACAAGCCAGCAATCATGTCTGTTACATATATAGCAAAACTGCAGTTACAATATTCAAAATAACTGTTTTTAATATCAACAGCTTAAGTTATGGATAATGATGACAAAATACCAGTTTCTCTGAGATTGTCAAAATCAACACTTTTCAAAAATGGAATTGAAATTTGAGGTGTGGATTTATTTTAGAACATCTAAAATAAATGCTTCGAAATTTTTGTTTTTGCAAATATAATTTTGACTTGGGCCAGTATGGGTTTTCTCAGGTTTTATATACTTACCAGTTCAACAGTTGTCAATGTTCTTTTTCTGTAGTGGTAAAAATAATAATGCTGAAGGAACAGAATTGGGCATAGCATTAAATCTGTAACATATGCATTGATCCATTAAAACATCAATTTTTTTCATAATTCTCAATGGGGAGGTTTTATGCTAGGTTCTTAAAATGTTTTTTACAAAAGTGTCTTCTAAAGAGAAAACAGTAAATGTTAATAAAAAAGAATAGTAGGTGGTTAGTTTTTTCTCCCCCATTTTTTCCGTCTCTGTATTTTCAGCATTCTGGTTAATATTCTTCTCAAAAGAATTATTTGCATAATATAATATCATTCAGTTTACTTTTGTTGTTATTGATGCTCAGACTGACCCACATTATTCCTCATTTACACGCATGCGCATACCCACCCAGGCGTGCTCCTTGCCTTGTAAGAGCTCAAAGCTACAACTTATTTATGATCTGCGTTTCTAAAGCGTTCCTCAGGTGCAATTACAAAATTGAACTATGTTCAGTCGTCCCATTATGCTAGGTACAGAAATACTATCATCATTCGCTGCATCAAGTGTAAATCAGGATTCATTTTCACAGAATAAGAGTTATGATTATGTTTCATACTTTTTTTCATTGCTAGAAACAAACTGCTAATTACATTATATTTGATTTAAAAATACAGGCATATTATGTATTATAATAATATGATTTGTGGTTTTCATCAACTTTTTTAAATTCTTTTTTTCTTGATTTAAATTGATCCCTTGTGTTGTTGTCAATTAAGATAGTTTGTTTTTGTAATCATAGTTTTGTTGTTCTGGTAAGTGGATGTTATCGGTATTACAACATGGATGTACTTTACTGCATACATTTGCGTTCCGGGTATTCATTCATACAGTGTGGATGGACTCCGATGAAAATTTGTGTATATGTTGGCATAAACTGCATCATGGATGTCTTTGTTTGGTTTGTTTCTGTTTGTTTGCTCATGACAACATTTGTGAAGCTCATTTATGATTTATGAACATCATATTACATTGGTGACATGATTGTATCGTTCCATACACATCATTATAATGTGTGTTGACATTCATTGTAAATTCTTAAAATAAAGAGAACGAGCATTGGACATTTAAAGAGTGTATAAAAACAAGCTTCCATCAGAGCACATCATTAGTTCAGCTAATGCAGAAATACAGTGTAGAAAGCCAAAAGGAAAAAGTGTTGTGAGGGGTGGGCCTGCTCTTGGAACTTTGGTTGTTAGGGGCATCTTCGTCCACCCATTTACTTCTGTCCAATCATAAATGGACGTTAAATTTATTGCTGAAAGGAGCATACTTTATTTTACTTTACTTTTCCGATCCAGTGGCCATCTGAGTTCTAGCCTTTCGGCCCATCAAATGTCAAAGAATTTTCAGGTTTTTATCAGCTGCATTTTGTCATCG